CCGCAATGTCTGGTATCGCGCACTTCACAACACGCTTCCCACTGCCAGCCGTCTCCACAGTATTGTACCAGACTTCATGCCAAGCCCGCAATGCCAATTATGTTTAGGTTTCGTTGATACAACTCGTCATTTTCTCGTTGATTGCCCACTTCGGTGGGCCGTATGGAAGGAAGTCTGGGGCTTGGTTTTTTATGCTGAGCCTGATCCCACTCTCCTCCTCAACTTCATCATCAACCTGGACTGGCCCGTTGCCCCTGCGTCCACCACACAACTACGGACCATGGTCGTCCAATCCGTCCTTTTGGCATGCTGGCGTGTCTACTGGAGCTGGATCTTCGACCGCGTCCCTTATACTCACTCAACTGTGGTCTCACTGGCACTGAAGCTGCTTGCCCAGCTTCGCCACCCCAAGATCACTGCCATAGACTAATAAGTCCATTGTCACCCCTCTCCGCCCTCTTTTATTATTTTGTATATTCCTCTTTTTCTCTTATCTCCAACACACCTCTGCTTTGTACGTGTGACTTGGATTAATAAATTTTGGCCTACCGGCTCATACAAAAAAAAAAAAGTTTTCTAGCTATTCTGTAGTGAGCATTCTGGTGCGCCTTTTAGTGCACCCGAGTATTACAGCGTCTTGCTCATCTACAACTACTAGACCGTCAATAAAATTCTGACAATAGCATTTCCGATGGCTGGTGGTGAGTAAAGGCGATACTTGCTCGTCAAGTTTATCGCTATATATGCTGTTTTCATCAGCGTGATCGACTCAGACGAAGCTCTTTTATATTCTAGCTATTAAGACAGCGATATCAATTCATCCGACTAATGGATAAACTATGTGATAGAGGATGGATTAAGGACGTATCAGAAAGTCGTTATGTTAATCGGGCACATCTTTGAAACCGGCGTTAGCTGATGTGATGGCCGAGGTACCTGTTGATAGGTTCATTGTCCTGCTCACATAAGGTGAATCATCCGAGTAAGAGGTTTTATTCAGCAGTGTTCAGCCGGAACGCCGTAGTGTTCATACTTGTGTGCTATAATGTCTAACCGAATATCTTATTGTTGATATCTTAAGCAGTGTATCAATGTGGTTCACCACAGTAATATAGAGACGGAGAGGCGTAAATGTGGGTCTATTATTCTGTGGCAGCAACCTTGGTGTGGCCAAGCTAAGCAAGCAGCTTTGATACTAATTAGGTCATAATAGAGAAGGGATGCAGTATGGAACAGACACACCAGCATGTCAAAGGACGGATTGGACGGCCATGGTCCGCTACAGTACAGCAGCGGCACTGGGCCAGTTCAGATTATGAATAAAGGGGAAGGAGGTTGAGATCTTGCTCGGCATAAAGGTCAAGCTCCAGAGAGCGTGTGGTGGAGTGCTCGATACCATACAATATTGCGAGTTGGATGGTACGTTGTGCTATGCCAAGGTTGACATGAACGTCTATCATAGCGGTGGGTTGTCAGGTAGTGTGGTGGTGTACAAACATTGTCCAAACAAAGCAACGAAATGTGTACGAGTGGTGAGTCCTATAAGTGAAATAAATGATCAAGAGAGGACGCAGCACGTAATCATGTTCAGTGGTGGCGAGTCGTCAATTATGTTGACCCAACGAGTGAGATGTAGGCGGGCAAAGTCAACTAGAAAATTGTTGAGTATAATGCAGCCATGCTGTACAGCTTCGAAAAACAGCGAATGGCGAGTAAATGAGGGTTCGGACCGTCTTATGGTGGACGTCGACGTAGTAAGCCATGTGTTCCGTCAACGATGAACAGATCTATATCTTCGTTTTCCTGAGGGTCAATGAGAGTCGAAACGTGGAGCAAGTGCTTGGCACCGGGATCCCATAATACAAGGCAAGGCAAACAGAGCACAAGCATTGGGATATAAATGAGTGGTGATGCTAGTTGAACTCGGTCGATTGGGGCAAGAAAAAGTGATGTTATTGCCTAAATTTATTGCTATAGAAAATGAGAATGTGTTTAAAACACGATGATCTGAGGAATTTTGTGTGATGCTCATCAACAAGTGATGTACCAGATAAGGTACTACCAGGAAACCTGATGTATTGGCGTTAGGGAACTCGATTAAAGGTTGTATCCAAGGTAGTCGGAGCGCTTGTTGCTATGTCCGAGAGTCGAGAACTTGTACGCCACCCTGATGCTGTGGTTGATGGAGATGGAACATGTCAATTTTAGGGGAACATGTGGTGTGAAATGAAGCTGGATGGGATGCTCTGTAGTTTATTCCTAAAAGGACGCAGCAGCACCACTGGCTAACGGCAGGTCATATTGTAGTCGAGAAAGCTATAGTGTGCTTAGGGATATTACACGCTCGCGCACAGACAGTAGGCATCGCTGATATAATTAACAGCCATCGCGTATGCGGATGAGGTGGCGATCCATAAAAAAAATGTTGTATTTCGGATCAATATTGCCTGAAACAATAGACCAAGTAGGTCATTGCTTCAAACTTGAACGATCGTGACAGGCTGGGTATGCAAATCTGGCAAGATGTTGATTCCATCGCGGTTGTGGCTGGCTCACAAAAGACACTGCCTCCTGTGCTCTATGGACGTTACAGTAATACGAGCGTTCGATGCCTGTTGATAATGATGGAGGTGATGGTGTGAGTGTTCCAAGTCAGTGTCTTTGTTAAGAAAGACACATACATTGTCTGTATCTAGTATGCAAGTATTTTGAGTGGGAGAAGTGGAAGAATATGAAGGAAGCTATGCATATCGATATCTACGATATTCGATATATTTTGCAATATCAGTTAAAGTGCGTATATCATAGATCATCACAGAACATGGTACAGCTCCTACAAGTCGCCGAGGAACACTAGAGAAACTTAGGCTACTCTTGGCACCCCGATAAATGCGCTATTATCGACCACTCCACACCAGTCAATCGACCACATCCCACATTCCGTACCTACAACAAACCACTGCGCATCGTCGAGTCATTCCTGGTATTCCATTCACCTGTCAGGGTATCGACGCTAAACAACTTATCAGCCAACGCACATCAAAGCAATTGAAGGAAAGGCTCTCCTGCGAAGACTCGGCGTCCACCAATATGGCATGGGTCTTTGGCCCGCGTTAAGAACATATCGAGCTTTCATCCGACCGGTTCTTGAATACGGCCCTACAATCACCGCCTTATCAGCCCCCTACCCAAATGATACATCAAGCACAAAAGAGCTGTATCAAAATGACTTTCGATCGCAACACCACCACCTCATTTCCTACAATCGTACCTCAGGTGCCAGCCGATCTACCATCTATGCAAACTCGCATCCGAACAATCCAGTTGTTTCCTCTCCTCACCAAAAATTTCAATTCGGCTTGACTTTTCCCTCTCTAGAAGGGGGGTTTTTTTTCCAGTTAATTCACCACCTCCTACTATGTATTTTTTTCTCTTTTCAATTACCGCAACGCAAAGAAGCGACAAGCATGCTATAAGGGTATCGTCATTAGCCTTCCTATTGCCCGTGGAATGCAGGTTCACCTTCCACGTTGTAGCATCTTGGCTAATATACTTGATCAAGTCAGATATTCTCACAAGTATTGCGGTTCCTTAAACAATAAGTACATTGGACTAACAGGTCAACAACTTCCCCATCTTCCACTCCTGTTAATACCAGCTTCTCCAAAGCAATCTTCATTTATTTTCCATGAATTACTAAGCCATCCTCATACATGTTTTTTCCCGGGGCCAGCTGCTTTCTGATCCTCAACAAGGAATAACTCCGGGTGAGCTATTGTGACAGGACTAACAAACGCGACAAAGCCTTGCAGCATATGCGCTATGTTTGAACCCTCGTCAATGAAGGACTGAGATGCAGATGGTGGGTAGGTTATCACAAGGGAGTAAACAATGAGTTATCCAAACTTAATGTTGGTCAAGAAAGTATTTGATGTAACAGAAGGATTTACAAATCATGATTCATCTGGAGAAAATTCATAGTACAGCACTTGAAATATGGCTTATTATCGTCGATGAACAAGGCTGCATCGCTCTTTTTCGTAGCCCATTTTGGCAGGCCGCCTGCAAGTTCTTTGAAGAATATTCAAGCAGCAACGGAAATTCTACTCCTGATCATCCGCACGCCAATGCTTGCCTTGGCAAACCACTTTGTCACCTATCGACATGTAAAAAGGGTAGTATTGCTTGTATACTTAGGAGATGATTGTGAGTTGTTTTCGGAACCGAGTGGAGTCAAGGGAGAGCGGGAGCTCAAAGAAACAAATGTACGTATATGGAGGGATGTGGATGGTCATGATCGTTTAGTTGAAAAGAACGTTCAATTACGCTGGTCTTTGTAAATTTAAACTCATAAATTGTGGTAAGCAGGATGGCTGCGGTTATTCATTGGTGTAATACGGTATTATAATGCTTGTGTGATTGTTGAGAAAGCTTTGATGACGGAAATGAACGGCACTAAGAAAGCTTTGATGAAATTGAAGGAGTGTTGAGAAAGTTTTCATAAAGGTGAATAGCAATAAGAGTACATAATACAGTAACGGATCGATTCGTGCTGGTGGAATCCTTGCTTGCCTCCTGTTTCTTGGTTTTCGGCGGTGTGTATGAGCGGACAATGTAGTCGGCACGAAGGGTTTTACGCTCGTTTAAACGGTGGAAGGCAAAGCAGCGATCAGCCAAACGTGTCACTTGCTGGCGCATGAAAGAGTAAAAAAGATTCTTACCCGCATGGTGGTCAAAGCAGCGTAGCACTTGGGCAGACGACAGAAGTCGTGGTGATCTTGGGGAATGAAAAACACAGATATGGGCACAGGTCGATATGTTGCTTGGTAGATAAGATCCATGCCAAACAAGGTGCATCTGAATCCTCTATTCACCTGTTAGGACCAGGCTCAAAGCAACCTTTGTATCCTTGGCATGTGTTACGGGTTATGAAAGTCTTAATGCACTTACCTTCCAATATTAGACCAAAGACTTTTAAAGCTAATAGTGGATTCATTACAGCTATGTTGCTGCCCAGGCGATCTACTTTGGCGTCTGTGGCGGCATTCTATCATTCTGCGACTTGCTGGATAAGTCAAAAGATACGACTGGCAATACGTAGAAGGTGGACAAGGTGTTTGAAAGCGAAAGCACTGTCAAACGCGAGGATATTACGATTGAAATGGAAAAACTTGGCTGGACACATGCTTGTGTTATCAAAACTCATACACTTACGTACACACACACACACGCACACAGTAACACCTCCCTCTTTTCTCGTTGAGCACAACACTCACTGACCACTGTTGGTCATTTTGTACATTCTTTTAAAATAATGCAGCCCTGTTCTATCAATCCAACTGCTCCTGTTTCCATCTCCTGCCCAGTACCGTTACAGCGACTTTTGATTTGAACGTCATAAATGTGGAATCGCCACCACCACTAAAGTTCTCTTCGTTCGCCATCGTACGCAGATTGACTCGAAGCATCCTGAGCAATTTGTCGAGCGAAGAAATTGAAATCCAAAAGGCACGAATGCTTGCCTAATCTACAAAAAGAGCAAAACCGGCTGCAACGGATATTTGGCTGCGACGGATATTTGGCTTGCGATAATGATAGTAACGGTCAAAACTATGCGAGTATCCACCTGGCGTTTCCCCTACAACCAAGACTGGTTTCTGCGATTGGTACGCGTGTTTCTCCAGTTGACCCAATAACGAAGACAGCGGCCACTAAAACTACAACACAACCCTGCCAACGCCCGCGGAACCACCCGAACTCGACCCCGTGTCGCACGACGATATGCTTCCACCTCTTCCACCTCCACAACCTGCTTTTGTTAACGGTCATTTCAGCACACAGCAACAACAGCAGCAACAGCAGCAGCAGCAGCCACCACGAACACAACAGCACTACTTTTTTTTTTGTTTCAGAGGCCGTTGCCTTGATAAATGAGAACGATGTCAATAACGCCACAAGCCCGTTTTCATCATTACAACGCCAAGGATGAACGGACCGCTACGGCCATTTCACAGGCGACACTACGTTTTCCATCCCACAGCAATCCGCACAACTGCCTGCTGGGCCGTCGTCGACCTTTCCACAACGTCCAGAAACACCTCATTTTTGTCAGCTGACATCCAGACATCGCTTATCGACACCTTTGACGTACACGCTAACCCGTTTTTCGCTGCCGTCATGAACAAAGCAGATGTTGGCAGAGCTCAACTTGCTGCGCACAGACCAGGAGGGGATATTTTTCCCTTCTTTGGACCATTTTGTTCAAGAAGTCTTTGAACAATGCGAAAAGGCACTAGAACCACTAGAGGAGGAGGAAGTAACAAGAGACGACGAATATGTCAAATGCATTTGGAAGGCAATCACTGCTTTTGGCTTCTTTGACCCTGACGTTCAACCACAAGAATAATATTTAAATCCAACATATTTCCTCTTGACTTTCTGGATCTGTATCGACACGGAACTACCATTGAAATGATCGCTAACGGTTCCGAACAAGACTGGTTGTGCATTGCTGGGACAACCTTGACCGTTGTTCTCAAGGCTTGGGTGAGGTAGGCATGATTTATTCTTTATTAAAATTGATTAAAATTATGAACATGTATTTCAACACTAACCATAATGACTTATACAAATTAATAGCGATCGTACTTACCAATCAACGTTGGTACGGGTCAACAGTGACAGAAAAGTCAGCGGCATAAAACCACTTGAAGAACAAAGTTGATCGGTCAGACCGGATTTTCTCTTATAAACGACGGTGGCATCAGTAAGAAGAAAACTCTGGAGCGACAACTGCATGTCCCAAAGGTCATCAAAGACATCTTTCATCGAGCCTTGACGAAAGGGAAAAATGAAGAATCGCTCGCACGCACCTTGAAGATAACTGCTTTGAACCAAAATAGTGAGTTGTCAATTCTACAAATTGTCTAAATCATCCAGATTATCAATACTTTGTAATTCAGGCACACGCGTCCAAGCCCAAGTTCTTGATTGTCCGAAAGTATACATCTTCAAGTATTCAGTACCAATTCAAGCAAAAAACAGATATGGTTTTGGCACAGCTTTTCCCTTGAAGTTAGCACTACAAGTCAAGGTATGTTGTTCAATATATGTACTTTGCTTGGTAAATTCAACATTGCTATTATAACTACTAACATACACAGTTGTCTCATTAGGCAATTACCAAGAACGCGGTCAAAAGGATTTAAAACACATCAACGTAATCAAGCCAAAAATCGCAAAGAGTCAGTTCTTACATTTTTCCTGGACCATTTATTTTTTTATCAGCGACACCTGTAAATTCCAACCAACTTTGACGAGGCCCAATATCTCGCAAACCTCATTTTAAGGATACCTCCGTTGTCAAAACAACCATTGTTCCCACAGCAACATCTACAAGCACTGATGGCCGACCCAACGCGCAGCAAAGTATGTTGAAACAGTGTTTCAATAAAGTATCTACTAATTGTACACTTTACACTTAGCGATCGAAACATATGTCAAAACATACATGGCGTCGGAAAAAGAACCCTCTTTGCGAGATTTTCTAGACACATGCATCAGCGAAGCGGCTGCAACCACCGATTCGCGTACGGATGTCAAGCGTGTTTGGACTAAGAGATACCAAACAGTAGCGAAGCAGTTGAACGTCGACAACATAGTAGATGTGAGTGACACGAAACTTATCAAATGCAACCTCTTACTGATTTATTTGAAATAGAAAAATATCGACTGGGACGACATCAAAGCACAAGTT